GAAGAAGAGACGTCCAGGTAAAAGGTTTGATTTCCTTATCTCTGATCATTCGGATATATCATTTTAGCTAAACCACCTTGAAAAGAAAGATATTTTTTTATATTCATGTACATTTGCATCTCTCTGTTTAACTTTTCACTTGCAGGATAACAAAGACTCACACATGTGCTGTGCAGCAGTCTGGTGTGAAGGTCTGTATCTCATGCATTTTGCTCAGCAGTTTGTATTATTGTTGTGGACGTTTTCAGCTCTGTTCAGTTTTATTTTTTTTAGCAGAAGTTGAAAACAAGGTTTTTTATATTGGTATTTAAAGAAGAAAAAAGGCCCAGTACTATTAAAGAGAAACCCCATCAATCAGATGATCTCATATGAGCAGCACTTGTCTACTGTGGTAAGGAGGAGCAGCCAGTGGGGAGTGAAGAAAACTGCTTGGGCATCTTAGAAAACGCCCCTCAACCAAAGCTCTTAACAGCTTAGCATAGGGAGGCTTCAGGTTCACGTGAGCCAGCCCAATTAGCTTTATTCAAAATTAAGGTTTTAAGGCCAATCTCAAAAGTAGAGAGACTGTCAGCTGGACTCAAACTGGGATCTGGTTCCACAAGAGAGGGGCATGATAACTAAAAGCTCTGCCTCCCATTCCACTTTTTTTTTCTTTCTTTTCTATTTTTTTTATACCTTGGAAACAACAAGTAAGCAATCTGTGAGTGAAGTGTACGGCGGCCCTGAGAGGTCAAACACACAGTAACTTCATGGATGAACAAGTAAAGAACAGCAGCAGAAGTGATAAGATAACAGTAAAAAGCTAAAAGCAAACATCGATGGACAGCATTATATGAATCTTGTTGAAACCCCACGACACAAAACATAATCCTCCATTTCTTTGAAGTATGTCTCAGTGCAATCCTCCAGATGTTTTGGTTTCCAGCACTTCTGCAGCTGTTCCATTACTTTATCGTCTCTTCAGATACACTTCTTTTGTGAATTTGCTTTTTTAGCTTTTGTGGCACATTTTTCTATTTGCTGGTGTTTTCTTAAGTTGCAGTGTTTTTGACCTCTCAGGGTCACCTTAGAAGTGTCCTGTTGGGGTAACAAGGTGCTGTAAGTTCTTTAAGGTCACTTCAGTATTTTTGTGTAATTCTTTTAGGAGGCGACCAAAAGAATTGTTGCATCAAGATCACAAAATATGCTGAGTGGAAAACAAGTGAAAGATCCCCACTTTAAAACTGGGTGAGTTTTATTTGTATATCATTTCTAAATCCATTTCAAGCCTTTCTGCTCATAAATCTTTTGTGAGATTTATTCTCCAGGAGGAATCACAGTTTACAGGTTTTTCAAGAAATTGTGCTTGATTGTTTCAGGAGTTCAGAGGATGATTTTGAAGCTGTAGAAGATTCTGCTAATTTATTCTTGGCAAAGACAATTCACAGCATGGAGGAGAAAATGAACAATGCTGTAGTTCATGAAAATGCTGTGGATGAAATACCTAACTTTGGAGACAATGTAGGATCAGGTAATGCTTATTTCACTTAAAAAATAATAAACCACATTTTTATTCAGTGGGAACAACGACTAAATAACATGTATAGTTTTCCACGAATAGGCTTTTTTCTGTCAGATGATTTTTGCCCCTTGAGAATCCCAAATGAAGGCCAAACTAGAGCTTTGAGATTAATTAATTCATGTGATAAGTTTCATATGCTTATATAGATTTTTTTACAAGCGTATAAATCTGATTGTTGTCTCTTAAGGAGTTTCAGAAGCTCAAATACGAGTCCTGAAGGCAAAACTCCAGATTATGCAAGAGGAACTGGACCAGATCTCATGTGAATATTACAAGAAGGTAATGTAAATATTTATATATACAACTATAAACAGAAATGTTGCTGCTGATGCCTTACATTAGAGAAACAAAAGTTACTTTGGTAAAATATATAGGGTTATTTGTCCTGATCCTTAGATTGTTTAACACAGCATGGATGTATTATTGTATCTGGATTGTTTTTTCTACTGCTCAGACTGAAGTGTCTGAACTTGTGTCTCTGCAGGATGATGAAAACACAAAGCTTAGCGCAAAGATTAAGGAGCTGGAGGAGGATCGAGCCCGGCTGCAGAAGACCGTGAGCATTCAGCAGACACAAATCGAGAAGCACCGAGCTTTAGCCGCAGAGTCCAACAAAAAATGTGATGGACTTCAACTGGAAGTGTCTGGTTTGAGCAAGGTGTGTGTCGCCAACAGCTCAGAGCAAATTACTACTGCAACAATTTCTTTAAAACAAGCAGTAAAACTGGACAGCGTAATTCATCTGAGCTGCTGTTGTGTGTCACCTGTTTTTGTGCTCTGTGTAGGAGGTAGAAAATCTGAATAGATCCCACAAACAAGCAGCAGCTGTCCACAGCACGGTAGAGGTCCGCCTGAACCGAGCTCTAGAGGAGGTGGAGAGGCTGAAGACTCAATTGAACAAAATGAAACAGGAGAAAAAGGTAACAGCATTAAAACAAAGATTCCTGTATAAACATGTCTGTGTTTTCTATGTTTGTCTTTATATCAGAAATACACACTAGTCAAAGAAATTAAAGGAATACTTTTTAATCAGAGTACAGCATCAAGTCAGTTAAACTTGTGGGATATTGATATGGTCAGTTAAGTAGCAGAGGGGGTTGTTAATCAGTTTCAGCTGCTTTGGTGTTAATAAAATGAACAGCAGATGCACTAGAAAGGGAACAATGAGACAACAGCCCAAGACAGTAATAGTTTTACAGGTGGAGGCTGCTGACATTTTTTACCTCTTCATCTTATCTGAGGGCTCTGCTCTGAGTCTGCATAATAAAGGGAGGATTTGTATGAATTCAATTCAATATAAAACAACTCTCTTACCAATTTGCTTTGTGTACAGGTCTATGGAGTGACAGTGGTGATTTTCCAGTGTCTGTACTGAATAACGCTACTTTAACCTTCATCTTGTGATAGCTTCTGTAACTATCTCTAAAGTTAACAGGTCAGTTTTGACCCGTGTCTTAAAGCAGCCAAAGAAAATAGCCTCAGAACGGTGTTTAATCATCCAGTTTGTTTGTTGTCTATCAGTTACCTTGTTAGGCTGCCTTATGTCTGAAAATATTGGTTTTAATTTTTTTGGCATGGCCTTTCAGGTCCTTTCTCTCCTCAGCATACCTTTTGTTTCTATCTAAAATAAATTGTAAATCAAACCTCAAGAGAATTTAGGAAAAAAAAGGTTATATTACCTACTATTACTGAGAAGTGTTATTACCTGTAGTAACACTTTTATATGGAAAGGAACAAAATATTCTTTAGCGGTCACCTGTGGCCCTGGGTTGAACCTCAGTGGAAGGAGCTTCACCCATCTCTCCTATACATCCTTGATGGGAGCAAGTATATCAGATGTTGCTCTAGTATGTCTGCTGTAAAATCTAAGGACTAAAAAGGTCTGAAGCAACACTGTTGCCTGAAAAATAGTTCTGCCTGTCGATGCTTGGTCTTGCTGCTTCATCTGTACACTGCAGCAAGAAGGGCACCATTATAAGCATTCAGGTATTCCTCATCACTGTCATTCCAAATGTCACCGTGGACTTTTTTTCCTTCAAGGGCTGTGATAGCCATGATGACTTTTTTTAGTGACAATGGCATGAACAAATCAAAACACGAGCAGGTTCGCACCTGTGACCTCCTCATCAGATCTGTCTTTGTCCTCTGCTTGATAATCTATATTATCCTCCTCCTCAGAAAGAGGGTCATCCATATTGCTGTGCTGTTTTATGTCCTCAAAGAAATTATCCAGAGCTTTGCTTTTTATAACTCTTCTTAATTTTGCATGCCATTTGCATGCTGCAAACTTGTGATGTGTACTCTGCAAGTCACCAACTACACTGAGTTGGTCTTATATGACTTGCGTGTCTGTACATTTCTATCTGGATGACCATTTCAATGAAGCAGTAGGTATAAAAAGGGCTGTTTGTTCAGGGTAAGAGACAAACGGGAAAAGAGAGAAGCCCCTAACGTCGCTCTGACAGTGATTGAGATCAGTGTTTATGATTTTAGTTTTGGGTCTAATTATTGTTTTATAGTCTTATATTATCTGCTTCAATATCTATAATCAAGTAAAATGGAATATATATATATAATGTGTATGCAGGATATATAATGATTTTTGTTTTTTCGAGTGGTCATGTTGGGCCGCCTGGATCAAAAATGCCAGGACCGATTTTTTTTTCCAGTCCAGTCCTATTAAAAAGCAGACTTCCATTGCAGGTATAAACACTACCATCAAAATAAAACATTTGTTTAAAATACAGAGGTTTAAAACCGATAACAAAAACAAAATTCCAATATGTAATCATTAAATCTTGTTATAGAGACACAACAGCCACAAAGTGTCTTATATTTATTTGTATATCAGCTATTCTAATTAAAGAGGCATAGCAGAAAAACTTTTATAGACATGAATTCATAGGTGTAGTTAAAGATACAGAGAAAAAATATGAGTTAAGGTAATGCTATTATGTCCCTCACACCAACATCTTATTTTGAAGATCTTTCACATGTACATAGAACTGAATTTTAAGCCGCACACTAAAATATCTGCTCTGACAACTTCCGATTGCACAAACAAGGTGAGGTCCTGCTGAGCCTGCACTAATTTCTGCTTTTTGCCTTCTTTTATAAATAAGGACAAAATAACTGAGGAACATCAGAGTAAAGAAAATTTGCTGGCTGAAAACAAAATGCTAAAAAAGCAGAAAGCCGAACTCATCATGGCCTTCAAGAAACAACTGAAGCTAATCGACATTCTCAAAAGGCAAAAGGTACGAGTCATCATGTTACTCTGTTAGTGGATACTGTGCTTAGTTTTTAATCTTAAGGGTTTTTTTTTTTGTGTGCAGATGCATTTTGAAGCTGCTAAGCTGCTGAGCTTCACAGAAGAAGAATTCATGAAGGCTCTAGACTGGGGGAAGTAATAACCACTGAATGTCTCCACTTCTATTTTTTAAAAGCTAAAAAGCTTAACAGTGGTCACTGTTATTTTAGGATACTTCTTTGTGTTGTAGGCCTCCGTTGTCTCTCAGAACATTGTCAGAAAAAATGATAAGTAGATTTGGTTTGTCTCTTCAGTTAAACATTGGCAGACTGAGTTGCCACGTCTGTTTGGAATGATGTTAACTCAGTGCCTGTCAGCACCTCTTAATAAAAATATGTCCCTGAATCGGTCCCTTGTATCTATACTT